CTGACTTAGACTTATCGGCACGGGGGCGTGCCGCTGGTCTCGTGACACGTCGCGTCACTGCTTCATCATGCCGATGTGCCGAAGTTCAATCTCCGCTCGTAGCGGTTGGAGTTGGACTTCAACAAATTTCTCTCTCATCCTCTCTTGCCCTTCAACCACCACCATCTCTTGTCCGTGTTCGTGCTCCCCTCAGTTCCGCGCAACATCTTGCAGCTGTTGTCTCTAGTTGACATGGTACGTGTACCATATTTATAGCTATGTTTTGCTGCTGTCCCTTTGCACAGTAGCTTGACTGCACTCAAGGGCCGGGTCTAGAGTCCCATATCTTCTTCAGTCCTGATGCTCGATTAGCACGAGGTAAGTGTGCTACTCTTCCAGTCGTTTTGAACATACTGATGATGCAGAAGTTGTACAGGCCGACAAGTGTGCGGCATGTTGCCTTATGTTCGCACTCGCGTGTACCTGTAACAGCAGATGCACCACAGGCAGTGCGTATATTGGGTCTTGTGATGTACAAGACATCATTAGATGCTCAGACATGTATGTAGTAGATATGTCTAATGATTATATTGTTTTCCATGCATCCATACAAGCTGCGCCATCGAGCAACGGGGTGGGAAAGGGGATCAATCCAGGCATATGGTATGGGATGGCGTGATTGATGTTATCAGTCTCATGCAGGTCATGTGACTTTATTTGTGCAACATTTGCGCTATCCCGCGGCAAGAAACTCATGCAAATATTTGGTCTGATTCAGGACCCCCGATAATCAGTATAAATGCCTGATCCCGAGGACCCATAAGTAGACCCATTTTGTCTGGAAGAAAATCGCCGATTTTGGACCTTTTGTCCGGAAAAAAACAGGCATTACAGCGAAAAAGTGGCTCTAAAAGGCAACTGTGGCGTGGGTACGTCTAAATTTAGCTTCCCCGGCAGGTGCCGGGGTAAATACTGTATATCTATGTATGTAAGCAACCGGGAGCACAGCGTTACACCTTGAAATGGCACCCCTCGAAGTAACAAAGCCGGCGTTACGCGTTACATTGGTAAAATTAGCAACCGCAACCCGACCAGTACCCATGAGCTTCTACATATGATCCTTCCATATTAGGGATGCAAAGAAGCACTCTACAATATAATACTTGATTTTTAACTGCTGAGATATATTGACGGAATAATATTTGTAGCTAAATCCTACCAAAAATTGTTGAAATATTCCAAGCAAACGGAAGACGAGCGCGTTTGCCCCAGGCGGTCGGTTGCCCGAAGGGCAATCACGTACAGTACATCGAGTAGATACAACGAATATATATGAATTTTCTTATCACCTTATCAGTCGGGCCCGCCTGCGGCGGCCCCCCCTGACCACGCGCAACACGGCGCGAGCTCGCAAGCTCGATCCCGACTCCCGAAATCCAACAAAAATCGAATTTTTTGACGAGCGTTACACTTCCCCGGAGAAGACAACAACCTCTGCGTTACACGTTACCAAGTGCGCTCCGGGTAACGCAACGGAGGCTGCATTACGCGTTACGTTGCTTACATACATAGACATACAGTATGGCGTCGAAATGGCCAAGTCTGACCAAAATGTCCGGGAAAAAATCAGGCCTGTTCTCCAGAATCAGCTGATTTGTCTGTAAAAAATCAGCCATTGAGGGCTCTAAAGTCCCAAAATTTGTCCGGAACCTGATCAGGCATTTATACCAATTATCGGGGGTCCTTCTGATTCATTCGCGAGGGCGATTTTCTTGCTCCTGTTTGGCGATCTCAGTGCAAACGTTTGATTCCGGATTTTGACGCAACATTTGTGCAAATACTGCCGGGCTGTGTAAGTGTCAAAGGATTGAGCCCGAAGGTGATGTGAGAGGTTTTCGCCATGCTTTCAGCGGGAGCAGTGGATGCAGCGACAGTGCTGCCATGGATGATTGTACTTGTCCGCCGTAGATAGAAAAGTACTAGCTGGCAGACCTTTTCGTCCCTTGTGACCGAAGATCCAATACACCCTTGCGTCGCGGGCCATAACGGGAGACAGAGCAGGCCATGAACCTCGCAGATTATCCAACCGTCAGTACAGTACTGATTTTGATTCTGGATTGAAGGAACACGTTTGGTGTCGCGTGCCCAACCTTCTCGAGCGCGGTATAACATGAGAGCGGAAACATATTCAGGGCGTTACATCTGGCAAGACAAGTCCGCGCAAGTCGCGTTCGCGCAGAAGGCGAAGGCGACGCGATGAAACGTGACCTCGGATAACATCCGAGGCACCCCAAATTGCCAATTTGGGACGGACCTCGAAAATGCCAGGATTAACCGGCTCGGCGTCAAATACCCCGGGTCCAGTGCTGTGGCGCCCTTTGTGGCTCTCTTTGCGCCCCGTGGAGCAACATATCCTCTTGCTTCCAGCCACCATCTGCAAACGTGCGTTTGTTTTCGTTTTGCCCTGCCGTGTCTAACACTGATCAACGAACATAGTCCCGCTCTTTTAACAGGAAAACATAGAGCAGACGTAGACGACCATGTTCGTCCAAGAAAAATCTGCTCCGGCGTCGGAGCCTGTCGCTCAGGACAACTCGCAGTACAGGTCGGGTTTGGAGGAGTACGAGCGATCAGGCGAGGATAGACCGCCGTTTTATCTGACCTACGCCGAGGTGAAGCTGCTGGGCATCACTGGGGTGAGTGCCTACCCTTGTTGTTTAAGCGGGTGGGGGAGCACCAATTACTGACAAACGCGTACTCTGATAGGTCGGATTCTTCTTAGACGGTAAGCATGTTCGAGCGCATCCTCACTCTGCGCTGACAACTGGTCGTGTGACCACTTGGATCTACAGCCTATGACCTCTTTATCATCAATGTACGCCCTGAAGTCCCTCCTTCCGTCTTCTGTATGGCTAACAGTTATGCCACAGCCCGTAGCAACCATGCTGCAGTACCGTCTGTACGGCGGTGCGTCCCTGCCCGCGGGGTTGGAAGGCTTCATCAAGGCAGCAGCTAATATCGGTAGTGTGATCGGTCAATTCGGTTTTGGCTACGCCGCGGACTATTTCGGGCGCAAAGCCATCTGTGCGTCGCATCCCCTGTTCTCGTAGGACCAGCACTAACAGATCTGCAGACGGCAAAGAGCTCATGCTCATCATCTTCGCCACCATCCTGACCATCTGCGTCCCCACCGGCTCCCTCTCCGCGAACGGCTCGCTCATCTGGCTCGGCGTCTTCCGCATCATCCTCGGCATCGGCATCGGCGGCGACTACCCCATGAGCGCGTCGATCACGACCGACCGCGCCAGGCTGAGGAAGCGCGGCACGCTCCTCGCGTACATCTTCGCGAACCAGGGGTGGGGCAGCTTCGTCGGCAGCTTGATGACGATCGTCGTGCTCGCGTGCTACAAGCACGTCATGAACGACAAGGACGAGACGTCCAAGGCCGACGGAGGTGCGCAGCCCTCTCTTTTCCCCACCCCCTTTCCATACTATACTCTGTCATCATTATCCACATGCTGACCCTCGTTGCGTGCAGTCTGGCGCGTCATCGTCGGCCTGTCGCTCATCCCCGCGTTCGGCACGCTCTACCAGCGCCTCACGCTCCCCGAGTCGAAGCGGTTCATGGCGGCGAAGAACAACGACGCGGAGGACGAGAAGGAGTTCATGCGCCTCAAGCAGCAGGGCGATCTCGACCTCTCGCGCGCGCGGCCCTCACAGGAAAATAGTGCAGACGGCGAAGTCGTAGTGGCCAAGAGCGCGGGCTCGAGCTCGCGCCCGAGCACGTCGAGTATTGCGGAGGAGAAGCGCGAGCGGGATGTTGAGCAGGGCGCAGGGGAAGCGAAGGAAGCAAAGGAAAAGCGCGCGGCGGAGATTGCCAAGGAGAGGCAGGCGCACTGGGCTGGTGCGTCCAGGGTGCGCACGCTCTGATTGTGGCTCGCTGACGTCGTTTTCCAGAGTTCCGCGCGTACTTTTCCGAGTGGAAGCACCTCCGCATCCTGCTCGGAACTTGTTCGTGCTGGTTCCTGCTCGACGTCGCGTGCGTTTTCCAGCGGTTACTATAGTGTGCACTCGTTTGCTGACTCGTTGGTCGGTTGGCAGGTTTTACGGCGTGAACTTGAACCAGAACGTCGTCCTGCAGCAGATCGGGTTCGACGGCTCCTCGGGCACGCCCTGGGAGCGGCTGTTCAAGATCGCCATCGGGAACATCATCGTCACCGCCCTCGGCTTCGTTCCTGGTACGCACTCCCTCCTTACACATATCGTACGCGCTAATGCTGCCTTGCGCAGGGTACTACGCCACCGTCCTGACCATCGAGAAGCTCGGACGCAAATGGATCCAGGTGCAGGGTTTCCTCATGGCCGCGCTCTTCCGTGCGTATTCTCCGTCCGTTCCCGAGGCCGGCGCTGATAGCTGTGCAGTGGGCATCCTCGCGGGCATGTTCCACACGCTGAGCACGCCGGCGTTCATCGTGTGCTTTGCGCTCCTCCAGGTACACTGAGCGTGTCGTGCACTCAATAATTGCCGTTCTGACCGCGCGTATTTCCAGTTCTTCTTCAACTTTGGCGCGAACGCGACGACATATGTGACTCCCACTCCCCTCTATCTTCCCTGACCCGTCGCTCATATCCTGTGATTGTTTCTAGTGCTACCCCGCGGAGGTCTTCCCGACCAAGTTCCGCGGCGCCGCGCACGGGATGTCGGCGGCGTGCGGCAAGCTCGGGGCGATCATCTCCGCGCTCGCGTTCAACTCGCTGTCGAAGAAGATCGGGACGGACCACGTTCTGTGGAGTGAGTCTCCTTCTCTTCCTCTTCCGCCTTCCCTCCCTTCCCGGTGGCTGACCGCGGTTTGCAGTATTCTTCGGGTGCTGTATCGTCGGTGCCGGTGAGTACTGTATTCGGTTGAATGATGGGGTGCTGACGAGGGTGGCAGCGTGCACGTTCCTCCTCCCCGAGGTGCGCGGCCGCGATCCGGACGTGGTGTACGCGGAGGAGATGAAGGTCAAGCACGCGAAGGCGATCTCATAGTGTCGCCGGCACCGACGCGCGGATCCTTGCGTGGGGATCTGACAAGGGGATTTATCATGACAAGGAGGGCAGATGTATAATGTATATTAGGATAGAGGATGGTAGACTACGAAGGGCACGGTAATGTGGATACGATGGGCCCACGACCGCGCAGCGGAGAGTATCGGGTGGCGAATGTCTACGCCTGAAGTCCAGCGTCGCTGTTCTCCGGATCGTAAGCGGACGGGCGGCAAGGTATACGTAGGTATACGAGCGGCTCGCGTGAACTGGCGACAGAGGACGAGTCCAGCACCGAGGGGGACGCGGGGCTCGGGGTGAATGAGAGTGCTGCCGGGGGTGCGAGGTGGCGGAGGGGGTGGTGGACCAGGCAGGCGTGGCCGCGGCCATGACAAGTAACGAGTTGTGGATTGGAGTCGTGAGTCACGGACCCACTGATTGTCCGAGTCGCTCGTGATTGGCCCAGCGACATGTGTGACGTCGAAGTGTACTATCATTTTGGGGGTTTTGTCAAAGTCAGATTTTTGACAGAACTCCGAAATCTCGACAAATATGTAACGGGTGGCTTAGCGGATTGGCACATAGGTGAATTGTGACCCGTATAGAACACCTGTCAAATCAGAACCGTCATATCTTCTACCGTTGCTGGATGGGAGGACGAATACTGGCTAAACAGCCCAGTGTAACCATGAGAAACAGGCCTGATGCATTAGATCTCTGGGCCTACAGTCTTCCGGTAAATATCAGCTTGTTAGAGAACACTGTCTTATGTATAGCTAAACATGGTTCACCCACCCGATTGGTGTTACAGCAATCCCAACTGCTCATATCGTATGTTTGACAGAAGGAGAACGTCCAGGCGACTGGGAGGTTCGCCCGCCGAACGCGTTCGCGAATGTGTTCGGCGAATGTCTGGGCACGTGAGGGGATGCCACACCACCTGAGCCTAGGGAATCGCCACACCGCAACTGTTATTGAGCGAGAAAGGCAATGGCAGCTATGCTTTCAATCCATAAAATACAGTTTGTTATGCACATATTATTGTACCATACCAGGGATATTGATGACGTGAATAGAGTAATTTCCATGAATTTCAAGTTGTCCATGCCCAATGACTAATTATATGTATACAGGGCATCTGTGGAGGCATCACATTTCCAATGCAATGCCAGTAGTATTGACCATGGAAACCGTTAGGGGGAGGGCACGGAAGGGGCTTCAGTGGGTTCGTGTGACCCCAATTGGACAGACAGCTTCGATTACTCACCACACTTTTCTACAATTACCCAGCAATTTCATCTCACAGGCTGATACAATAAACTTACAAGTTAAAACCCTCAGGCTATGCAGATTTTATCATAAGCAAGAGGGGTACGCATCTGTGGCCGGTGGACAGAGCCACAGAATCGACGTGCACCGTGGTGTGGTTCTCACGTTCGCATTTGCAGTTCGCGAACGCGTTCGGCGGTGTGACCTCCCAGTGGGGTCGACTTTCTGGACAGAAGTGCAAGGGTCCCGGGCGTGACAAATGCGTGACGAAATTGGCGCGGATTCATTACTGTGACCCGCGTGTGACGCATTCCGATTCCCCTAGAATCGGTTTACTGTTCAGTCGTTGTATAGGGCTCTCTGGTGATCGAAAATCGCCAGCGTTGAACAGGGGGTATACCCCTTATAGCCCAAATTACCTTAACTGTAGCGGGAGCACCCTCCTTAAATGGAAGGTCCACCGATCCAAATCTTACCACCATCAGCAAATAGGAGCTATTGCCTCTCATGTCAATAATTACCGTTTGTGAATAGGGACTAATTCCAGATATGTAGTGTGGTCTCGATCCTTTCAAGATCTCGGGCCAATGGCACTGTCAGGCATCCCCCGGCTGTGTGTGGAATTGCGCCGATGGCAAGTACCCTGCTGCCTACGGCACAAGATTGGTAAGTTACATACGAGGCATAGTACTGGCAGCATTGAGGCCTCAGCCTGACGACGTGCATCTCAGCTACAGTATGCATGTGCACTGACTCGATAGTAATGCTACCCGAGTGTAGTACTGAAGTAAATAGTGTATTGTGTATTGAAATAACTGTACTTGACACCGAGTATAGGATGATTGAAGGTTCTAGCCACACACAGTTATGTTTGAGAGTTACAAACTTATATGATTTAGTATAACTGAGATCAACATATAATAACTAGGAGTATTCTTGATGCCGCGCAGCGCCCGGGAGGCTAGAAAAGAACCCTTGCCACTCGTTTACCTTACGAGGAATCGGACCTGGCGTGCCGCGCAGCGCCGAATACTTCCCAAGTTGACAGAACTACCTGCGACTGTGGGTCCGTCACCGGCATCTCTCTCTATCATTTTGTACCCAGTCCATTGAAGTCATTATTTGTGCAGATAGTACTTAGGAGGGCTTATTATGATGCCTGACTGAAAGTAAAATGATTGTCCAAGGAGCAGGCCTGTGGCAGGTTATTTCCGGGAATCTTGACAGAACCCCCAAAATGATAGTATGCCTGTCTCAGCAACCTCTTCGCTCTCCGGGCGCAGAGCCGCTGCAGTCTCCGTGGACACCCCAATGCGCTTCCCCTCGCCGCGGTCAACTGTCGCGCTCGCTTGCCAGTGGTGAGCATCAGCCACTTCCCCCTCAGGCCGCGATATGTATCTACGCTATAGTAAGTAGACCTCACGCTGAAGCATACCAGCAGAGCAACATCCCGAAACGAACGACCGACTCCCTCTCGCTCAGGTCACGCGGGGTCCAGGCGCTATGGCTCCCGGCGACAGTACTAGCGTGCTTGCGCGAGTCCCGGCCTTACCCGCACACCTCTGCTCCGCCCAAGTTCTCTCCGTCCTCTTCAGTCCGCGCGCACCCCTCCCTCTCAAATACCATCCCCCTCGCCGCATTCTGCTTCCGCTTCCGCTTCCACTTGAAGACCCGTCCCTGTGCATCGCCATCCCGCCTGCTCGTATTGTATTCCGCGCCAAAGAATTCCCCAAATGGCCTCGGCCCCGAGTGAAGCGGACGCTCACCACGGCGCGATGTACACGACCAAACTCGAGTCTCGCGCGGGGATTCCATCAGCCACCCGGGCCTCCTCCCCCGCCACTGCGACACATTTCACTGGCAGGATCCAGCAGGGAACGCCGAGAGGCGCTGGACACGGCGCGTCCAATCGCAACGCGCATCCTGTCTGAGTCCTGTGCACTCGCACGACTATTGTCTCCACTCATGCTCACGCCCTGCGTACCAGGTACCCATATCCGCGCGGCGTATCTTGGCCGGAGCGAGGTGCGCACAAGATCCCCTCTCCAGCCCCCGCCGGCGAGCGGAACGAGCTCCCACGTCAGGCCCGCTCCTCGGGTTCTGCATGGTCGGCGCGCAACTCCCCAGCCGCCCCCCCCCCCAAGTCCGCGTTGGCTCCCTCAGGCGGGGATTCAGGCCCGTCAGAGCGTTCCCGCCGCTGCTCGGCAGATGCCAGTGGCTCGGTGCCTTCGCAGATTCCAGCGCCGCAACCCCGGGTGGGCGGGCGGCGCGTCCGGCGTCTGGTAGTTGAGACTCCCTCTGGTCCGCCGGAGGCGAGTCGTGCCAGTGCGCGGGATAAGTAAGTAACGCAAGTGGTATGATACGATCGCGGCGGGGCGGCGGGGCGTATACACGCGGGATGGGCTTAGCCTGCGCTCGAACGCGTATCGTTTGGGCGGCCCTCTATCTTGCTCAGTGCTGATAGTCTGCAGTACATGTACTAGACCTCCATTCCGAATGGGGAGAGGATGCACTCCCGACGGGAGGATGCCGGCGCACCCGTCGTCCACTCTACGCGTGCCGACTTGCAACTACTACATCGCAAAATAGCGGGACGGGGGGGGTGGTAAAGAAACAAGGACTGCTCGAGGAGGGGTCGACTATTCGAGCAGGTAGATGAAGAAAGCGGACGATGATGAAGGCTCATTGGCGTCGGAGACAAGGGTGCTGCCATGTGCCTTGTCACCCCGCAGACGCAAGATCTCTCACCTCTCACCTCTCTTTAGGTCCAAACAAGGTCCAAGCGTGACTGCCGCACCGCGCAGTGCACTTCTCTTCCAAGTTTCAGACCCTCCTGCACTCGATAAAGCATATTGTCTTGTCTATTCCACAGCTGCTCGAGCGTACGGAGAGCCATCCGTGCACACACGCGAAACTACCACGTTCAATTGTCACGCAAGCGTACAAGCCATTGAACCCCATCCGCAGATACGAACACGAGTACCCCTCTCCGCCCACCCGGAGCCCCCGCCCCGCCCCTCCACCCTTCACCTCCCAGCTCCTACCCCGTCAGAACCGCTCCCTCCCCACCCCCGCCAAAACCGCACCTTCCCCATCTCCATCACCAGATCCCCCGAGCCGAGCCGCTGCGCGGGGTCCGGCGCCCAGCAGCGCAGACACATCTCCCACAGCGCCGCGCTCATGCCCAGCGCGTCCGGGCGCTCCGCGGGCGCGCGCCCGGCCACGATCGCGAGGAGCGCCAGCGCGTCGTGCGGGACGTACGCGTACGGCGAGCGCTCCGTGCACACCTGCCACGCACCCACTCCGCCGCCATCAGCACGTCTCCTCCAGCGCGGCGCGCACGACGCACCTCGAGGCACACACACCCGAACGCCCACACGTCGCTCGCGCGCGTCTTGCGCCACGTCGCCGCGTGCGGGTCCGCGAGCTCCGGCGCGAGCCAGCGCACCGAGCCCGTCTGCCTGGCCGACGTGTACGCGCCGCGCGTCGCCTCGGCCAGCACGGACAGCCCAAAGTCGGCCAGGCGCACTTTGTGGTCGGCGTCGATGAGGATGTTGCCCTGCGTGGAGGGAGTCAAAGGGGGGACAAGGAGGAAGGGGCTGGACGTACGCCGCGCAGGTCGCCGTGGACGACGTTCTGGTTGTGGAGGTACTGCAGGCCCAGCGCGACTTCTTGGAGCTTGTTCAACGTGAATCTGTGAGTAAAGATATACTCCAGCCGGGGACTGAATGGAGAACGCACCAGTCGGTGAATGTCCTGCGCAGTGAGAGCCTGGCTCCCGCGATAGTCCCTGATGTTCCCGTTGGCCATCCATGGCGAGACGAGCGAGACCTGGTCGAACGACTCCAGGTCGATGCCCAGGAACGGGAGCACGAACGGGTGGCGGAGCTGCCTCCACACCAGCGCCTCGCGCCGCACGAGCTGCCCAGCCCACCCATCAGCATCCATACGCACAAATCAAGACAGCCCACGTACCGCCAACAGCCTATCCTTCTCCCGCTCCCCAAAGATGCGGCACCGCTTCACCGCGACCAGCGCGCCGCCCAGCGTGCCCTGGTATATATCCGCGTACCCGCCGCCCGTCACCGCGCGCCGGTCCCCGAGGAGGCGCACGCCGCGCACGTTGATCGCGCGCGGGGTGATCTCGTTCTCGCCCGCGAGCTTGAGCAGGAGGCGGTGCATCCCGCGGCGGAAGCGCTCGCCGAGACGGTAGCTGCTCTTGCGCGCGCGGTCGAGCACGTCGTGGTGGTCGTGCGAGTCGTCGAGGAGCTGGTGGGGAAGGTTAGGGGTTACAGGGGCACGTGGGGAGAAGGGACTTGCGTTTTGCAGGAACTCCATGAACTCGGAGGGGGAGCCTGTTGGGAGGTCGATCCCGTACACGGCGCGGACCATCAGTCGATCCCTGCATGCATTCAACCTGGGAACCGGGTAAGGTCATGACATGTGTAACAGGCAACCTGTGGAAAGGTACGCACAGATTCTTCGTATCGCTGACAAGTTCGTCTGCTGGCGGCTCCTCGAACCCATGCCGTTCGAACAGGAGTATTATGATGATGGCCCACGTCCGCACGAGCCGTATGCTCATCTCTGCGCCCATGTTGGTAGTGGCGTCTTCGATGTACTCTCCCATGAACGAGCTGACGTCGCAGACACCGTCCAGAACGTTCAAGACGTTATTCACTTTGTTAATCGCGTCCGTCACGTGTCCCATCCGGACGTGGAGCTCCCTGGAGAGAAAATATATGGTCACTCTCAAGTCCTAGCCGGTCACGCTCTGCGTACCTCAATCTCATACTGAGCGGCCCGATGCCTTCGCCCTCGAACGGTTGCCTGACGCTGGGGTCAGCAGTCAATTTGATGCAGACAGGGCAGCGCGACGGGTTAAACGTGCTATGATCCATCGGCGTGCCCACAGTCGTGACCGTTCCAGAGGCAACGATATCCACCAGCATCGCGACCTCCGCATCGCTGATGTGCTGCAGGAAACGGAGCGTGTACGCCCACAGTTCTCGCTCGTTGACGTTGCGAAGGCGGCAACAGACATGCCCAAACAAGTCCATGCATAGCATAAGCCGATGCGCCGAGCCGATCGACTTTGGTTCGGGAAGGCCGTGCCATAGCGCGCCTGGGCTGGTGGGAGAGTCGTCAAATGAAGCACTACTGTTGGGGTCGTTGAAGAGGTTGGTACTGCATCTGTAGTCATTGACGAGCCAGACTATCGTCGACATGACTGCATGTATCTCGAGGTCTTTGTGCTCTCCGTTGCTCTCCATCGCATCCCTCGTCTCCAACAATAATCGATTCGTTGAGACGAAATACACCCATTCCAACTGGCGTAGACGTGTCAAATCAGCTGGTGACAGCGGACCGCGGCGAAAATATTTGTCCTGGATATCGAGGATGGTGTGCCACTCGTCGCGGGACAGGAGCGTCAATGAAGGGCGCCATGCGTTGGGGAACCCGTTCATCCAGCTCAGGTAGGCAGGATCTTCGTCCGTCTTCCACGCTTGTCGCAAAGTGTTCTCCATATGATCTAACGTCTCGATATTGACGTGCATGGAAAGGGTTGCCAAGAAGCATTCGACGACTTCCAACAAATCGCGTCGGGCGGAAGAGTACCATGATGAGAGGGTGGGGAGTTCTCGGCGGGTGAGTTCGAATATTATATAAGGTGCCCAAAATGATATGCGGGAAATCGCGGACCGTCTCTGGATGACGAATGTCCCCAGAGGGTGGTCGTTTATGACCGTCTCACGGGGGAACACGCTGAATGAGACATCGTGTAAGCAGGCGAGGCACAATAGACAAGGGCATGGCGTACACTTGGATTTCAATGCATTGCATACAACTCCGAGGCGCAAGGTTCATCACAGGGAGCTGATATTTCCCTTCTAGCCAGCAAAGGAAGGGTACGAAAGACTGTAGCTCCTCCTGAATGTCGTTATGGCAGGTGTGACCCATCACACTCATTGATGCATCGAATGCTTGGTACTGGTCCGAATGGGCGAAATAAGAGCCTGCCGACAACGAGAACGTACTCCAGATCTTAATGAGTTGTTTACGACGGAAGCTGGATGGGCTTCGGAGGCCACGCTCGGCGTCGGCATGTTGCATAGCGCGAGAGTTCAGTATTACCCAGGCAATCGCGGCTGCTCGTACGGAAGGATCCTCCATAAGGCGTATCCTATCCGCCATTGGCGACGAAGGGGTACTCGAGACAGCAACCCGCTTCCATCGGTTTCGAAGTGCCTGCTGAGCTTGCTTCCAGTGATACTGGAGGGGACCCCAGTCCATGGAGCCCCATGGTAGCTCTTCGTCTCCGTCTACCCATAATGCCATGATATCTTCCGTTCGATCTCCTTCGACCAAACACAGCCAGGTCGAAACCGTCAGACCAGGACTGCCAGCGCACGCGGCACTGACGAGGTTGAACAGATAGACCAGCCGCTTTGGACGCCACAGATGGTCGCTGCCTGTTTGGTCATAGTCTGAAGTGTCGAGCTTGAGAAAGTTGTAGTCGTCCTCGGAGATGTTTGCAGGGATAGGTGGATCCATCCCGCGCTGCTATCGCTGTTAGAACAATCGATGCAGCCCCGATAGTTATCGACGCTGGAGTCGTTGGATATGAGCGGAAGCGCACTCACTGAGGACTGGATGGGAGCACTGTGCACTCCGTATTTGTCGGAGAGTTAAAACTCAGCATTGTCCTGCAGTCGATCAACAGATCCAACGACATGAGTTTGCATTTTGTTCCCGAAAGGTAGGTCCTTGTTTTCCTACAACGCTGAGATGACGTCAGTATCTGCATATCACTGGGAGCGTTTTGGGCTGCCTCTCGCTGACGCTGGAATCCTGTTGCTCGGTGACTTACGCTGCTGGAACCCACACATGGATAAGCCCATGGTAGAGACAGATAGACTGAATATCCTTAAGAAAGGCCTTTTTCGTCATATGCACTCGTTCCAGATGGCAAGGTTTTGGCATGAATATCGGGCACAGGAACGATCTTTGCGGATTGTTTGACTTTGTGGGCGCTCAAAACGCCGCTGCACGTGTTCGACAACTGGAAGCTTCGCAGAACGACGCCCATTGTCCTGCATCCAGAAACAACGATGCACCGACCTGCGCACCTTTTATGTGATTCACCATGACTCGTCGTGGTGATGGACTAAACTGAATCGACTCTTCGCCTCTTTCAGGCGAGCTTTGTCCGTGGGAATTGCGTCCACGGGCGAGATAGGGAGCCAGCCTTCCTCGATCGCACCCTTTCTTATACGTTTTCGACTGCTTTGTACGATCGGAGACTTGACAAAAATGAACAAGGTAATGTCACATACAGTACAGCTAGGACAGGTCCTGCGAAACTAGTGCCGTAGGCCTACCGCTGCTCCTAAAAATATAGCTAGCCTAAGTCGACATCCATGTCTCCATACGATTTCATCAAGGCTCAGGCCGCCACAGACATAGGCCCAGACCAGCTGGCATCTCCTGATACCTCGTGCGGCTTCTGGGAGGCAATGGACGTTGAACGGAATATTTTTCCGGTCTCATCCACGAGATGTTCTGAGCAGATCCTTTGACTTGGATCGAATCGCCAACACTGTTTCATCAGTTCCCACAATTCGTCTGTCATGGCTGATCCCTCTGGTGACTCGAGAGGATAATAACCAGCCCGTAGCTTGAAACCAATAACCCCCTCTGGGATATCAGGGAATGGACGCTTTCCGGTACAAACCTGTCTTAGCGTTAGCCCATACGCTTCAAAGGAGCACCCATAACACATACCTGGACACAGACGCAACCGAAGGCCCAAATGTCGCTGGAGACGGTTCTTCGGAAGCATTGGACATCCTCACCATTCGTCGGGAATAGCTCGGGTGCATTAAAAGGTGCAGATCCACCCTCTCGAGATGTTGAGAATGCGCCACGGGTGGCCTCGGCCAAGACGGACAAGCCGAAGTCTGTCAGACGCGGGTGACCGCCGTCATCTACCAGTATATTTTCCTGCAATCATAATCTAGCGGCTCAGAAGGGCACGTGGCATGTTTCAATTTTACTAACTGCTTTGAGATCTCCGTGGACGATATTCTCTCCGTGGAGGTACGCTAATCCCTGCGCAATCTCATGCAACTGTGGTCATTGATGCGTGGAGGGATAAGCAGGCAGTAATGCGGGCTGGAAGAACGAAGTCATACCAGTGAATGGATATCGCGAGCAGGAAGTGGGTGACACTGCAGGTAGTCCTTGAGGTTGCCATTTCTTTGCCGGGGCGACACCATGCACATCTCGGACTTGAACGTGCGTTCATCGATTCCGAGGAACGGCTGGACGAATGGGTGCCACAGCTGGGACCATAGAATCACTTCTTTCCTAAAACTCTATTATCTCTTCAGACAATAGTCAGGGTCTGTTGTGTCGTAAAACGAACCTTCTCATACGATTTCCTCTCTAGTTTACTCAGCATATAAACTCGTAGACGCTTCAGGACCACTGGGTAGTCGGAGCTCGTGTAGCCTTTGTAAACATCGGCAAATCCACCACCGCTCAAGGGTTTAGACTTCTTTACTCTAATACCACCCAGAAAGAGTCTGCGAGGAAGTAACTCCAAATCTTCCGAAATCTTGGTGACTATCCGTAGCAGAGATTTACGGAACTCGGGCGTCAGAGCACATTGTTGACAGCTGGGGAAACGAAGACGCCCAGAAGCCGTTTGCAGAACCTGGTCACTATGTCAGCGAGGAATGCTGGAGCAGCGAAGAAACTCACCACTAGGGGGATATCTAAAAAATCAATGAACGACGCTTCTAAAGATTCGGCCGGGGACTCCGTGCGAGAGTGCATCCCCCTGATGGTATTCTCGACCAGGCATGCCCGAACTACCCTAAACCTAGAGTGACGAAGACGCCAGTAACCGCATCAGCCCGAGTAGCTGCGGGAAAGGGACAGAGTCTCGTACGTATTGACCATGTCATAAGACAGGGCTCTCCAATTCGTATCCCCCTTCAAGTATTTGGAGCGCAAAAGCAAGTGCATCAAAATCGCCCAAGCCTTGATTAGATTGTAACGCATTGACGAAGCAGCAGACCCTAAAATGCGCTGCACGCTGTCCATGACATACCCTTCCACGTCAGGATGAATATTGAAAGACGAGAAAATCTCAGGAATAGATAAAGGCGATCGAAACCGGACGTGGAGGAACCTAACAGCAGTTACCGTGAGTGATATGCGATCGCGAGGAGGTCCTGACACTCAACATACATCACGTCGTTCAACAGCGGTGGAGCGGATCTCCGACGAGCAACATGACTCGTTCGGTGTACCGCTGGCTGGCCAGAGCAGAGTTCAATACACGCGGAGCACGCCATCACCTCGTATCCCCAACGATTATCCCAATCTTCAGAAAACGTGGCATTATCCGCATCATCAGGATCATCCGAGCGTCCAGTAGCGTCTGCCGATGCACTCTGCTGGAGGAAGAAACCAACGGCGGGGCGGTAACCGACACCAGGCCCGCGTTCCGCTTGGAGTGGTTCAATACCCCGGCTCTCGGGCGGATGAAGCAACATCAGAACACGGCCATAGACATCGGCGTACTGCGGTTCGCGGATCGTGACGGGGACGTAGCACGTATGCCCGGACTCCGCGATGCGCGACAGCACTTGGTGTCCCTCCATCCCCTCCAGCGGCGGGACAACAAACGCGTCCTCCAGCCAGCCGCACGTCCGCACCCAGCCCGCGAAGACCCGTTTCCAGTGCTCCGACGGCCTGTCCGCCGTGGGGCCCAGCGCATAGTCCTGCAGAAGCCAGACCAGCGCGGCCATCACCGTCTGCACATCCGTGGCCCGCCCGCCCGCGCCCCCCGCTCCTGCGTCCGCAGCAGCAGCCAGGAGGCGGCGCGACGCAGGGAAGCAGCTGGTATGCTCCACGGTGCGGCGCCACGCCAGGCGCGCCTTGCCTGCGTACGGCCCGCGAAACAGGCAGCCCTGCTCGAGCTGCACGAGCTCCTCCCAGTCCCACGCAGACAGGAGGCTCAAGTAGGGCCGCCAGGCCGGCGGGTACACGTTGATCCACGGGGCGTACGCGGGGTCGGGCTCCGCCTCGCACAGACACTTCCACAGTATCTCGCGAAATTCGCGCAGTGCGTCCTCGCGGAGCCTTGACGATAGGAAGTGGAAGACGCACTCGAGCACGCCCATTAGTTCCGCGCGATCTATGCTAAGCACGGGTCGGGTATTCCCGCTGGCGCCGCGGCAGAAGAGGGTAACTAGAAGAGCTGGGAGGACAGGAGGTGGCACTTGAGCGCCGCCGTGGGTGGACTGGGGTAGCAATGGGTGTTGTCTCAGCTCAAAGAGGGCCTCTTCGTCGTCTTGCCAAGTACCAACGCCCGAATTTTGATAAACCCTGAATATATAGATTACGGGAGTTACTCAATGACGAATGGTAGCAAAGTCACAACAGCGGTCGCACCTGGAGTAACACGCCTCACACGTAGACGGGTCGAGGTCCTGCATGCCCAACTCGCCCGTGCCATGCAGCCAGCACATGAACGGCACCCAGTGTTTCAACTCGTCTCCGAGCCGCTCATGGCAGCGATGCCCCGCTTCCTGCATCCTCGCCACAAACCTTGCGTATGCGCCTGGCACGATGTCGTAGGACACGTCGGACAGCGACGCAGCGACCCAGATGCGCACGAGGTCCCCGAGGAAGAAGCGCGGTCTGCATCGTAGCCCGCGCTGCGCGTCCGCGCGCCTCACAGCCGCCGAGCAGAGGATGTTCCATGCAATTGCGCCTGCGCGGAGGCCGGGGGCAGGTGCACCCCATATTCTCTGCATGACCGGGTCGGATGTAGGCTGACATGGCGTCTTTAGCCGTCGGTCGTGCAACCGATCGTACCGACGTCGGAGCGCGTCCTGCGCGTCCTTCCAGAGGTCGTACGGCTCCGCCTCGACCGCCTCCCACGCTATGGCCGCCTCGTCGCCTTCGGCCCAGATGGTCATGGTGTCCTCGTCTTCGCTGCCTTCGATGATGCGCAGCCACGTGCTGGGTGTCTGGTCTGGCGAGTGGGCACAAGCTTCGCGGACGACGTTGTACATGAAGATGTAGCGTCTGGGACGCCAGTGGTCCAATTCAGAGGCAAAGTCGGGCCTCAACTCGTCCGAGTCAACGGAGAGGAAATCGAGGTCATCGTCGGTCAAGGAGGACATGGTCGATTCGAGCGGCTTGCAGAAGGCAGGGTAATTCTCAGGATGTGGTGATATGTAGAGCATAACCCAGTACTCACTTTATACGTCTTTGTACGGGTGCAGGATGACTGCGTGTTATACTGGATACACTTCTCCGAGAACAGCACGACATTGTCCTGCGTCCCGACAGCAGACAACCCGACTGCCCTGTATGAGGGGCCCGTCGCTGATGCCGTCAAGCATAACAATGCACTTCAAGCATCGAGCCGTCGAAAACAAAGCAGCGGTCCGCTGGAATCACGGTGAACTGAGGGCGTCGGCAAGGATACACAAGGACCCACAAGTTCCGTCCCTGTGCCTTCATACCGTGACGTAACCTTACGGATCTATTTCAGGCGACCCTGCAGGCTTCCGGCGCCAGCGAACAGTATCACTATCCGCAGCTGTCACAGTGCCATGATGCATGCATTGTCAGTATGCACCCGTCATGAGAAGGCATAGATATCCGTACATTATATGCGGTATAACGATGGTCTACAAAATTCGCAGGGCGTCCGCGTTCCTTGACGGGCATAGGCGATTGACGCTGAGCCTAATTGATAGATCGCTCGAGTTTCCCCGAGCTTGTAACAAGAGCAGGGGCTGCAGACGTAAAAGGGGGCCTAGGCAGTCATATTATGATACTATACTCCGACATGCTGAAAGACCTCAGATGACGACCATGAAACCGGAGCGTTCTTGGGTGCAGGCTATTCAGACACGGACTGACCTGGACAAATCCATTGCCTGACACCTGCAGTACAGTATATTCTCAGCAGAAGGGTGTATTCGCTGTGGTAATAACCACAGGTGGAGCAGCCAGGTAAGGGAATTCGAAGCTTTTGAGCGATCTGATTGGTTGGGAGCCGCTCCACTGGCACGCTATGGTAATCACCACAGCGAATACACTCTAAAGCGAGAGTGTTTACCAGCATGATTACACCCCAACCATTCTACGCTGTGTCCGCAGAACGGCTAATGAATCCGCGAAGAATGGCGAAAGAACTTAGAAGGGTCTGTTGTTACCGAGTGGAGCCCACAGCGTCGGAATTCCTTACTTTCCCACCCAACGGCGTACGCCGGAAGCCACATACATGCATGTCACATGTAAGTACATGCTGAGTAGTACACAAGGGCCATAGGGACTACGCTGGGACAGCGACTGTACGTGCAAACATAAACTCGACCCGCAGAGCCACATCAAGCAATAAATCTGAATGGAATCTTGCTCTCCAGCCAGGGAGAAGATGCGAGTCGACTGTGATGGCAGGACAATATTCGCGCACTGGGAATCATCTCTTCCATGAAAGCAGGGCCGGAGACTCGTTCTTCTCGGCAGCTTCGGAAAAGACTCGACTTGGTCCTGAAACCCCGCTGTACGTTACATTACTAGTAGGAGTGCTTTCGCACCAATGTATCCTAAACACTATTCACCTCAGATACGTTAGCCCTCTAACCATTCATGTCCGTCGTAAGAAGTCATCACTAATCTGCGTTCCCTTCATACATTCCTCTGCTTCACTTCAGATGCTTCGCCTGACTCGACGTTCTGCTCATCGGGCATATTTCTCAACTGCTTCTCTAACCTCCGCCTTGCCAAATACTGGAAGAGAGTGATGGTCACGAACGACACGCCAATCCACGCGAACTGCACCCCGAAATTCAACCCGACTACATGAGGGAGTTTGCATCAGTCAAGCAGCGCGAGGAGGCTGAAAAGCACATACCCTCGTTCTTGGTATTAAATACGATGGTCCGCACCGCGCGCGAGACGTTGTAGAAGGGCGCCGCGTAGCCGTACCGGAAGATACCGGGGAGAGCCTCAATCGGGAGCGACGACACGGACACATTGGCTAGAAAACGATTCAATAATCAGTCACTCAGGCCGGGCAGGTATTGAACTCGTCGACGCACATATGATCCAGGGAAATAGGAAGAACGCAATGAATCGCTGACCGAGGATGGTGAGCATCGCTTCGCACGCAAGCCCACTAGCATCGCGTTAGTGTAAGAGATTTGCAAGGGGACTGGGGGGAGCACGTACAGCGCTGACATCGACATCCAGGACAGCATCCAGTAGATGAAGAACCCTGCGTGGCCGAAGGCGCGTGTGAAGGGCACCTGGAACGCCAGGCTAACGAGCGAGTAGAAGAGCTGTTTATGTGTATGTATCGTTGTCAGTAGCCAAAGCGGATGGAGAGGCAAGGGGACGCACGGAGACGGGGAAGTACATCACTATCGGCGAGATGAGGCGTAGGAGTATGAGGGACCGCAAGGTGAGGAGTCGGTCGAGGCCGGAAACGGTCTCCCGGGCAGCAAAGTTGATCATCTACGGTTGAGAGGGTAAGTAAGGACAGAAGAAATAAGTACGTGAGTATAACATACGGATGCAATGAACTGGATGGAGGGGATCACAGATGTGTCAGACTTGAAACTGACGTAGGACAAATGGGACGCACCGAAAGAATGAGCAGGTAGATCAAGCCGACCAGGTCTACCGCTTGCGCTCTGTAAAGTAGGTATATGAGCACTCGAAAGGACAAAGCTGCATATCCAGATACATACACAGGCACATCGAACGGTCGAATATTAGCCATAGTGAATGAGACAGGTTGCACGAGGACCGAAGGAGCGGCGCTAGCCAGGGCGGTAACGTTCGCGCTGCCGCTACTTGAGAGTTGGTGGGCAAACTGGAGAGCGAATCGAATCGAAACTTGTTGAAGGATGCCTTGCGTCTGAGGAGCACCTTAGTTCGAACTTTTGAAACAGGCTCAGATGACTTACTATCGGCGAGATAAACGCCCGACTAGGAGTGCCCGATTAGTCCAGATCGATTCTACATACTGCATGCGAGCACATACTATGCGTTCTCGTTTCTGGCTTCTTCCGCATAGGCTGTTATGGCGTGAGTCCCGTTATAAGAACCATCTTGAGACGACACTGCCTGCTGCAAATTCCGCGTGGCATTCGCGTTAACTATAACAGGATTGCATAAGAAACGATCGAAGCAGAGCCGCTAGAGGAGGGCCACACTACTCACCGACAACTGCGACCCAGCACTTTTCATCCACTACAGACGACGCGACGTCTGACGGACCGTTCGGAAATCGCGCCGTGTCGACCACTCTCCAGGATATTTGAGTATTTTGTCCCGTAGCACTCGTGAATGCCTGCGTGACGGCTTGGCCAATCATGTCCCCATCAAAGTCCTAATACCAGGTAGTCAATGTGTACGCTCGAGGAGATAAATTGTGAGAGTATTCACCACAATCCACCCGTGTATCTTGTGCAGTTGCACGCTCGGCTTCCATAGGGCCCCCCAATATATAGGCAGCATAGACATGATCGTCAAAATAATCAAGAAAGCACCTCCTGCGACCACCTTGAAATACAACGCCCGACTTTTCGCAAACGAAGGGCTCTTGTCGAAGAACGAATATGAAAACATCTCGACCGCTGGTCTTTGTCCCCGCTCGGGAAGGTTAATTGTCGATTCGCCGACTTCGCGTTCGTGTTGCGAGGCGATAGAGGACATGTCTGAGGGAAATAAAACGCAACGCAACGCGTTCAGGCATGGCTGCTAGAGTATATAAGGACCGCGGAACCTGACGTCGGCCCCATTAGTCTGGGTTCCTCGGTCACGGTCGTGTCTGACTTTCGACCGCGTTCTTGGCCCGCTCCCTTCGTGACCCTAACCCTAGACTCACATTCTTGACTAACACGCAAGACGTAATCCCCCTTTTGGGCAACCGCTAACCGAAGACGTCGGATCATTGACGCGTATTCGGACGGACTGAATCTTTACTCCGGCATTACAGTAGAGTCGCACATACTGTTTCCAAATGCTCGATAGAATGTGTCTTGGGTAGCAGCAGCGTTAGTCAGGCTGCAGTATTAGACAATGGTACTAACGCTTGCCCCGATAGGCCTAGTGGCGAACGAAGGCTTACTTACACTCTTGCAGGAGCATACGTAAGATCCGCACGACATCCGCAATGCCGGGCATCCACCTCATCCCTCTTCCACGACGTCATTTGCGATCCAGCAAAAGTGCCCGCACCCTGCGGCGCACGGGTGTCCAGAGAGCCTTGCGAGCGTCATGATGGCCGCACCGCTCGCGTCTTCTGAACCCGAGTCAAGCGTTGTCGCGACACTGTCCTCTGTAAGCACGGGACTCCGCCGTGTCGGTGGCCGTCCTCTCGCTTCCGTCGGGGGGAGCAATGACGGGATCTCGATCAGGGGCCGCTGAGAGTAATACCGTGTGTAACAGGTTTGATGCCCTCCATGTGTACAAACCGGGCACTGGAACATCAGGGCCTTGACCGGAAGGTGGCTGTGAAGCCGAGTTAGTTTGTCGCCCAGATAAGATGGATAAGATAACTCGCCAAATGGAGCATCTCGTGAGTGCAGCTCGACAGGATGAACAGCAGGGTCTCCGCGTTGACCCGGAGGCAAGAAGAGGCTTGCGACATCGTCCACAAGACAGATACATCGTCGTGTGGACCTATGAGCGACCAGTTAGACATTTCACTCTCCAAGGACAATAAATAACTTGCCTTGGAGGTCTCCTGAACGTCGCTAATTTGGGCATGTTTTCTGACATATGCGGCAGGTACGTGCAAGCGAAGCTGCGACAGGATATCTGTCTTCCTATAAGTTTGGCGGAGGCACGAACGAAGGATACGACAGACCGATATATGCCTCCAGGAACCGTACAACCCGTTCTTTCCCAACTCGCAATTCATTCGGAGCCACCATGCAAAGCATGGCACACGTCTGGACGTCACCCTACCCAATCAAAGGCATAAACATACACCCATGTTTCACAACCAAACGGAGCCCTCACCATATCCGCGAACACCTCCAGACTGTCCCTCAACGCACTCCACCCGACCTCCCTCAGCTTCCTCTCCCTCTCCCTCACCTCCTCCTCCTCCCTCCTCTTCCGCCCCCTCACCGGCGAGCGGCTCTTCGACGCCCGCCGATGCCCAGTGTCCGATATCAACTCGCCGGACAGCGCGAGGCTCGTCTGCCGCGTATGCGCCGGCGACGCCTTGCGCGACGTCGCGCGGCTGCTCGCCCCCGCCCCCGCCCCCGTCCCCGCCCTCGCGCCGCGCAAATCCCTCACCGTATCATCCCTCCGCAACGGCGCGTTCCTCGCGCCCGCCTCCGCCACCACCGTGCGCATGCTGCTGCACGACCCCCGCTGGGACAGCGGCGGGCGCGCAGCCCGCGCCGCGAGGCTCGCGATCGTCGAGCTGCGGCTGCGCGGCTCCGACCGCGACCGCGACCTCCGCGCACGCGCCCGCTCCGACGAGCTGTCGCCCACTGCATCCGCATCCGCATCCGCGTCCTCCCCGCCCTCCGTATCCGTCGACGCGGGGCTCGGCGACTCCTCCTCGTCGTCCCCGTCCCCGTCCCTATCCTCCTCGCCCTCGGACCACTCCTGCGAGTCCCTGCTCAGCGGGCTCGGCGTCGCGGGCGCGACCTTCGCGCCCAGCGCGGGCGCCCTGTACGCCCGCGCGCGCGCCTGCTCCTCCTCCTCCTCCTCCCCGTCCGAGTCCGAGTCCGAGTCGTCCAGCGCGCCCTCGCCCACGTGCCTCAGGCTACTCCGCGCGCCCTCCCCCGGGCTCTCGGGCACCGACCGCGACACGCTCGGGCGGCGGTACAGCGACAACGCGCGCGGCTTGAACAGGCTCGTGCCCGACTCCCTCCTGGGCGCGAGCGGCGGGAGCGCGACGTTGACGCGTCTCGGCGAGGGCGAGGTGGACGACGCGGGCGTGGGGGTGTTCCGGCGCTGAGGCGGGGGTGCGTCGGTGCGATGATGCAAGGTGCTGCTGCTCGCCCTGCTCGGGCTCGGGCTGCTCGTCCCGCGCTGCTGTGCGGCCGGGTCGGAGGACGACGCGCGCCGGCTGGACACCTGCGACCCCGACTTGCCGGTCCGCGTCTTGAGGATCGGGACGCTCGCAGGCGCCGAGACGGAGTGCGGAAGAGGAGGAGTGGCCACAGACGTCGGTGTGCGCGGCGGAGTCGGCGGGGGCTGCGAGTCCGGGACGAGATCAGTGAGCAGCGCCGCGACGAGCAGCCACGCGCGCGCCGCGTCCTCCTTGCCCACCGCGAACGCCAGCTGTCAAGCGCAGCCGCGTCAGCTCCGCGAAGACGAACCAGGGGCCGGTCAAGAAAAACGGCTCCTACAACCGAGAGGACCCCCTGCCCCACCTGGACGAGCAGGAACGAAGCGCAAGGCGACTCACCTCGGCGTTTCGCTCACACACCCCCACGCGCTCCCCCTCGAGCACATACCCCCTCGCAAGCCTTGCGAACGCCCCTTCCCCCTCTCCCTCTCCCTCTCCCACCCCAGCACCCCCCACCCCGCCCTCGCCCTCGCCAACAACGACCGCCCCCACGGCCTGCGTCGCAGGATAGTACGGCGGGTCGCCCAGCGCCTTCAGCCTCCCCCCCCGCTCCCGCGCGAGCTCTCTCACATCCGGATGCCTGCGCCGCAATCCGCAATCAGCAACCAGCAGCCCGTCACCGCAAAACGGAACGGGAACGAGAAGCGACGAAAGGCAAGCAAGGAGGAACCAACCCAAACTCACACATCGTCAAACGGCACCTCGCCCGTCCCCGCGCCGCCGCGGTCGACCGCGAACGCGAGCGCGCCGCGCGCGTGCCAGCTGAGCGCCGCGCGCGGGACCGCGTCGAGCGGCCTCGTCGCGTTCCGCACGTCGAGCTGCGCGAACGCGCCCGAGGCGTGGTGCGCCCAGAGCGCGTGCGAGTCGCGCCAGGCGATGTCTGGTTACGGCGGGTTGGCGTTACGCGTGGTTAGCATGACGCGGGGTTAGCATGACGCGCGGTTAGCATGCCGCGTGGTTAGCATGACGCGCGGTTAGCATGACGCGTGGTTAGCATGACGCGCGGTTAGCGTTATGGGGGGGGGACGGAAGGAAAGGAAAAGTGAGCACGAAGCCGCCCGTCGGAAAACGCCAACCACCCACCCGTCGCCCCCTCGCTCTCCGCCACCGCCCACTTCGCGACCCACCCCCTGCGCACGTCCCACACGTCGACGCCCTCGCCCACGACGGCGAGCTCGCACGCGTACGCGGGGCGCCAGCGCACGCGGGGCGCGGGGGCGCGCGCGCGCAGCGTGTAGCGCGGCCGGTGCTTGTTGTCCGCGGGGGCGGGCGCGGGGGGCGCGAGGTCCCACACCTACGTCGCACCGTCAGCGGGGCCGGGACACGCGCAGGATAAAACATGACAGTGCAAGTGCGAATGACGACGAGACGGCGCACCTTGACGCACCGGTCGAGGCCGCCGCTCGCGACCCACGCGCCGCCGTCCGCGGGGGGGCGCCAGTCGAGGGCGAGCACGGGGCCGGCGTGCGCGACGGGGACGTGGGCGAGCTGGCCGAGCTGGCCTTTGGTCAGGTCCCACCTGGGGTGTTTGGTAAGCATCGGGCTGGGGATGGGGGGAGGGAAGGGAAAGGGAAAGGGAAGGGAAAGGGAAAGGGAAAGGCCGAGAGGGGAAAGGCCGCGCACCGCAGTATGCTCCCGTTCTCGAGCCCGACGACGGCCTCGAGCGGGCGGGCGGTGCTCGGGGAGAGGACGACGGTGCGGACGGAGGCGCGCTGGCGGATCTTGTTGATGCTGCGCGTCATCGAGCGGAGGTCCTGTGCACGCGCGCGCGTCAGCGCCATGAGCAGCAGCAGCAGCAGCGGCGGCGGCGGCACGCACCCAGATGCGGATGTGCTCGTCGGCGGAGGCGGTGACGCAGTAGTAGGGCACGATGTGCGAGTACGCGATCTTGTGGATCGAGCGGATGTGGTCCTTTGCCCTGCGTTCTGCGGCAGATGAGAGAGGGCTCGGGTGGCGGCAAGGCAGCGCGCATACCGTACTTGGACCCGGCCTTGTTGATGTCCCACATGATGAGCTCGCCGTTGCGCGCGCTCGTGAGGATCTTGTTGTCGTACGCTGCCATCGCGGTCTGCTAGCGTGGGAAGGGGAGGGGAAAGGCCAGCGCACCTCCGTGCCCCCACGCCACGTCCGTGCTCGCGCTGTCCATCTTCAGCCCGCTCCCCGTCCAGAGGTTGCGCGACGCCCCGATGCGGTGCCCGCCGCTGCCCACAGCGGTCTTGTCGTCCTCGTGCACCGCGCCCTCCTCATCCGGCGCGGACACGCGCATGATCCGCAGCGCTGCCACGCACACTCGTCACTTTGTCGACGCTCATGGGAGGGAACAGCACGCACATTCCTGGCCGGCGACGGCGCACCGCACGCCGTCCTCGCTCTGGGCGATGGCGCCGGGGCCGGCGGGGGTGGCGCGCGGGAAGCGGACGGTGCGCGAGGGGCCCTGGTAGCCGTGTTCACGCGAGTCGGAGAAGAGGTCGGAGAGGGCGGAGGGGCCGGGGCCGGGGATGTGCAGCGAGGGCCGCTGCGGCGACGGTTTGGTCGTCGACAGCATCGCGGGGGCATGCACTTTGCTGATGACTAGAGTGGAGGAGACACGCCGTGACTTTGGATGACGGCGCTCTGATCGGACAGCACAGCCACTCCGCCAAACATAGTATCTCAAGACCCTTTCATTACAATACACCTCTGCCTAACATCTTATCTTCGAGTACGTCCTGTGCTACTCACCGTCGGGTGCACACCCTCGCGCTGTCCTCGAGCCGCCACCTCTCTCCGACCTTTGTCAAGTACCATTTCGATCTATTCGGCAGGCGGTGTGACGTGTGACTCATCTGACCGATTCGTCATTTCGGCATTTTACTACAGTCGACTCTGTCTTAATCCATAACGGGTCGTGGAACCCAAAAGTTATGGGTTTTTGCAGACTATGGGTTACCAGAACGTGTGACACCGTGTGACTACCTAGTAAGCGTGACAGAAAGCCTATTCGGTATATGCCGAACGTCGTTTATGACAACATTTAGATACGGAATCTTGAGTCTGGTATGGGTTATCTTCTGAAATACCACGAGAACCGAAAACCAAGGGTCCAGATGGTCCAAGTTCTTGTGGGAAGGAGACCTGCACCTTCCTAATATAGGTTGTTTTATGGGTTATGACCCTCCAAAAAGTTATGGGTTATGGGATACTGCAGACTTATGGGTTTTTACTATCTACCATGTCGGTGGAAGCCAAAAACCTATGGGTTATTACAGGTTATGGGTTATGACAGGTATGGGTTAAGACAGAGTCGACTGTACACATATATGGTGCGAAGTGGCGCCGCAGGCCAGCTTCTAATACCACATATGGTAAGTCCCACGATCCCAGAGGCATTGTGACCAGTGACAAACCCCAGATTTCGTCTCACGACAGTCACGCCATATCCATGGGGGCTGAAAAGCTGTTGCATAGCCGAACATGCAAGCACCCAAAAATTGGTTTTTGACAGCGGGGGAAATTGAGCTGGGTATAATACCCGATCGAAATGGAAATGTGAGCCAAGCTTGCCGGCAGAGAGCACCTTATAACGAGCGCTGTGTAGTGCTGTGGACGACGGGGAGGGTTCATCGCAGCCTGGGCCTGCTTCGTCGTGTCTGGGTGAAGGAGCATAGCTATGAGCGTCTAGTGATGCCGCGGTCCGGCTCGGTCCAGTTATTGGCCCAAATTTCCGGACCTGGGACCGGACCCAAGGTCCAGTTTGGGTAAATGTCCGGACTGTGAACCTCAAAGAACCCGAAATGGTGTTGGGTCCGGTCAGGTTCGGGTTCGAACCCCCCAAAATTACCATATTTAGGTATGGTTCAGGCATTGTGGCCCCACCTGGACCTCATTTCAGGTTCGGTCCACCCCAAAGCCGAACCGCGGACCAGAACCTGGGTCTGGTCCGAGGTTCGAACCGGTTCTCCCAGGTTCAGGAACCGGACTGCGGCATCACTATGAGCATCACAACGTCGTTTCAGCTTTCAACACATGGTCAGCAACGGTTGCAGGACCTGATAATACCAATAGAAGGGATTATCGACACCCGACAAAAAGTGTATTTGGCGCATGAAATGGCCTAGTT